TAGTTGATACTATATTTTCTATGTGGATCACACTAAATGGTATAGCTGGGAAATATTACTATCATCATTAAAATTCACTTTTAAATTTTTAATTTCTTATGTGTTTTGAGTTAGAAAATAAATATTACAAATTATTGATTTGTTAGGAGGTGGGGGTAGAGACTAGATTCCAAGCGATTTCCCTTTGGGATCAAGTCACAGAGACTTACCAGGATGTGAGGATCTGAAAGTCTTGTTAGAATAAGAACAGCTGATTAGCTTTGAAAGGGCTTCTTCGATCACTTTCAAGTTATCTCTCCTTGCATCTGGAATGAGTGTTTCATCTTTGGGAATAGCCCTATGATCTGATAAGACTTATAATGGGATAAGAAATATAAAGGGAAAGACTGAAATGCATTAATAAAAACATTTATCCCAAGGATGTCACAGCATTTGATGGGCATCAGTAATGAACAAGACTGCTTGCTCTGTCAAAGCCTAGAACAAAGGAAGGTAATGGAAGTAATGGGAAAATAAGCATATTTCAACTACACAAGATCTCAGCTGAACTTCACTTGTTTATTAAGAAGCTGCCTCTAGCTTTCTGACTCTACATATTGACTCTATATGATATGAATGAATAATTCATGAAGTTCAACTGAAAAGTTTATGCACATATGAAAATGAACATATGGGGAAGATGAATCAGTTTCATGCCTCTTGAAGAAGTTTGATTTTACGTAGAGTAGCAAAATCTGTTTCTTGGGGAGATACAAGGGGCTTTAAAAACTTCTCCCTCTCCTGGCTAACCTCACACTCCCAGTGCAAAGTCTGGGTTTGCTTATTCATCCTCAGGTGCCTGGCAATCAGCTTGAACTTTTTCTCTCAGGTTCTCACTTAAACTGCATCGGACAAGCCCACAGTTCGGTTTACATGCTATTGTCCACAGTTGGAAAAATAATTGTTCAAAGCTTCTTGTCCTCGATAAGAATCTTACTAGACATGATTTATTCCCTGTGGAGGAAAACAGTTAACAAGGTGTCCGCTGTTTTCAACCAGGGCAGAAAGCAAAGTGGCCCTGCCCCAGTTGTATCAATTGCACCTCTTTCCTACCAGATCCAATGCATAGAGAATTAGTTTTGGTTTTCCCTTTTTTCCCCCCAGTTCATAACAAACATGAGCATAAAATTCAAGGTCTGCTCAGTAACCATGACACATGAAAGGCAAAATAATTTATTCTTCCTGACTTAAAAAACCTTACTTCGGTATCTTAATGAAGTAAAGCAAAAACAGGGCCAACTAAACCTTCTCATTCATCACACCTCAGGCTGGAATCAAGAATGTGCCCTTTGTTAGGCTGGATTAACTCAGAATTGAATGTCCTGTTGAACTGGCCCGAGGGAAAATGATCCCATGAAGAAAGAAAAATCACCACTTTCCTTTCAATACCACCTGAGATGAGAGGTCACCCTCCCAAGGGATCCGTTTGCTAAATAAACACACTGAACTGGAAGGTGATGTATAGCAGCCGTTGATGGGACCTACCTGTCACTCATGAAACAGCACATTCTGCTGCAGACTTTCCAAATGAACACTCTGAAACACTTCACTTTAGTGCTGGAAATGTCGCATGACTATAGTCGTCTCTCCCCACCCTGAATGGCTTTATTGCCTTGTAACCTAAACTGGGTAGGGGAGGCCTGCTAATAGCTAGGTTAGATGTTTTCTGTTTCAGCAGGAAAGAGTCAAATTGCCTGATAAAAGCCCAGGGGAGAGGGAGGTGGATGAGATGGAGACTTAAATGTTTACGATTTATGTTGGGGTTCTGACCTGGATGACCCGAAACCACAGTCCAATGTGAGCCAATGCACCTTGTAGCCAGGTTTATTTTCATATAGTCCATGGAGGGGACATGGCAGAACCCTGGCTACACCACAGGAACAGTGTGGGTCCTCACCCTGGTTGAGTATCCCATCGGTGTGCAGTGACCAGTTACCAGCTGGGCTCCAAGTCGCTTGTGACTGATGGAGCCTGAAGCCTCATGTAGGACTCACATGAAATATAATTGTAGCTGCTTCAAAGCAACATCTGTAATGGCTTCACAGGTGCTTGCATTTCTAGATATTTTCTTGAGTGGGAAGAGGAAGCATGGGGTGACAGGTAGACTTCAGGACCCTACCAATAATTTTGGTTATGCTTATGAGAAGCCTCCTACATGAAGATGCAGAAAAGCACAGTTGAGACAGACTCAAAAGCCTGGGATTGAATAAAATGAATGAATGAATTCTCATTGACCTGCAGCGACCTCCCCTATTACAGAACAACCCCAGATAAAAAGGAGGGAGAAATTACTATTTTATTTTTTCAGCTGGCTGCTCATGTATCACCAGAGGATGAGTTCCTAGCAGGAAGTGAGCCACCTGGGGACAGCTAATAGGTGCTTGTGGACGGTTTCATCACCCTGCCTACCCTGCTGCAAGTTCTCAGGTGGATGAGATTATTATTTGACTCAACTTGAGCTAAAATTAGTCTTCTAGGGGGCAGCAGCAGCCAGACCAGCCCTCTGTTTAACTCCTGATGGCATGTTCAGGTCTTTTTATTGTCATCATGAAGAAACTCTGAAGTCACTGTTGAAAAACTCAGGCATGTCAAGACCAGGAGAAACTGCAAAATGCTAAAAATGCTGCCTTCCCCTAGGCCAGGACCCAGCAGTCACAGGAAACCCACAGGCAGACCCAGGTAGGCAGTCTCCTGCTTGCCATTGGACAGCACGTCTGGGGAAACCCAGCCCCCAGCATCTGTCACTGCGGCAGGTGCACTCAGAGGAAGTGTGAACCCAAAGACTAAAATTATTAACTCCTTTACATGTCAGGCCACCAAACAGGAGAGAAAAGAAATCAATAGTACAGCAAAGAACTCCGGACAGATTCAGACTCCCAGGGGAAATAAATAAATTCCAGGGGTCACTGAGTTTTCCACCTCAAATTCCCTAACTGGGGCTGCTCTAGAGTAAGGGAAAATCACTATGTCCTAGAAGACCTGGACAGCTCGAAGAGAAAGGACAGAGGCTTTGAGAGCAAGCCTGTGCTACCACGCAGGTGACCTCTGGTGGCCGAGTGAGTGGCTCTCAACTGCTGACCCTAATTCAGACACCAGCCAGGAAACAGGAATGGCACACAGCAAGAAGACGCCCTGGAGAAACTACCACGGGATCGTCCCACTGGTGACAGAGAGTGGGTCCCCAGCCAGGGCTGGGGCTCAAAGCTGGGATTTGTCATTTATCTACCCATGGGATCATCAAAAGGTTACACGAAAAGCTGGCAATTTTTTAAAGCTGATCTGAAACATAACAGGATCAATGCAGCTTATCAAAAAGTTCGTATTTAGGGAAAGTAGCTAGTGAGTGAGCTTTTGTTTGAGTCTACTTTTGGCAATTGAAAGAAAAAAAAAGCAGGACAAGGAATTGTTACTGGGACCTTCATAAGAGGCTGAGTGTGGCGGAGAGAACACACTATCAGAGCAGTCAGCAGGAGCCATCACTGGGAACAGAGATCAGAGAAATGACCCTCTGCCTGCTGGTGGATCGTGACCGGCACAGATTTTGTACATAGCATCATGAGGTCACATCCAAGAGGTTTTTGGAGGACTTGAGGGGGCGATATGTAACATATTGGGGGAGAAATGATTCTTCTGATAAATCCTTTACAAGCAGCAAGGTTTTACCCAGGCTCAGCCTTTAACTCTTATCTGTGTGTATACATGAAACCAAAGTCTCACTTTTTAAGCTGCAAATCTCACTAGAAGTCAGTAGACAGGCTATAACAAGGATGGAGGAAATCTGCCTGCAACAATTAGCTCTGCCCTGGAACTTTCTGGGTATCACCAAGGGGTGACCGGAAGCCCTTGTAACAAAAGATAAATAATCATTTAATGTATTGGCACTAAAGAAATATATCTTTAGTGAAATATATATTTAGAAATATATCTTTAGAACAGTGGCCAAGTGAGATACTGGACTTAAAAGTGGTTTCCAAATAAAAAGCTTTTCTTTGAATGCTGAGATAGTTTACTCATTTTTTTTTCAAGGAGAAATATGTCAAATAGATTTTACACCACTCAGGGTGATGAAGCAAGCTTTATGCATTAAAACAATACTCTTCCTGAAAGCAAGAGAAACAACAGTATTATGAATACTGCTCTACCTGAAGTATGCTAATTACTTGCTCCCTGACATTGTACACAGAGTCTTGGTGCACGTGAGCATGTGTGCTCCCCGGGAGAGGCCTGAATTTTCTCTATTTGGGTTTTCAGCAGGGCCCAAGCAAGGAAAAGAACCCCCAACACTGAGTGGCCCCAAGATGGGCAGGCACCTAGAAAGGCAGCGTTCTCCTCCTCCCCTCTCACCCACATGACTCTCACTCTACTTTCTTGAGTCCTTTCTCTCCCTTCCTCTATGCTTTGCTTCTAGATGCTTTGCTTCTAATTATTCACCTTTCCACCACTGCCCTTCACATCCTGATGAGAACCAGTATCACTCACTTAAAAAAACCAAAACAACAACAACAACAACAAAACAATGCAAGCTTCTGTTCCAAAGACAGCTTCTGTGTCCCCATACATTTCAGCACGTATGCCAAGGCCATTTCTGTTCAACATGTGGGCTCTAGCTAGATCTCTCTGGGTGACAAGCATATGAGAAATTTGAGGATACCAGTGTGAGTGCTGGGGAAATTATTGAGGGCAAATTTCATACAGATTTTAATAAGCTCGATATGGATTTAGCCATGAACACACACACACGGTTTGCAATCGACACACCACTTTCAGAAACTTGAGGCCCTTCTTCCTTTTCCAGTTTATATTAGTATCTAAAATATTTGCGGTCCCAATCTGAGTCGGGATTTGCAAGAAATATCTAGAGCTTGCTCGGAGTGGCATTTTTTAGTCATCTGCTATAAATGGGATGCTGGTAAATGCGCCATAAAGGAAGTATTACTGCTCCTCCTTTATTGGCAGATGAAGGCAGAGCACAGACTGTAAAGAAAGGAGCCGAGGAGGTGGGCGAATCTCTGCAGCCTGGAAGGGGAGGCAGAACCCAGAACCAAAGCCACCGCTGAGCACTGCGACGGTGCCCTGCCCACGTCTTGAGGCAGGAATTGAGTGTCAGCTGCTACCCACACCACAAAAGGTGAGATGCTGCCTCTTAAAGTAGCTTTTATTTTTTTTACTTGCCACGCTATTTTACAGTTTGGATGGGGGATGGAGAAAAGATTTTGTTAGCCTTTTAGATTACTAAAAACTGTGCATGGAGCAGAGCAATATTCCTAAGACTCAGGAAGATCTCAGACAATAGGAAAGTACTCAGTTAAATGTATGTGCATGAAGCACACGCTCAAACACCAGGGCTCTAGAAGCTGAAACAGAGGTGAAAACATTCAAACAAGAGAAACGCAAGCCACCACTGTCCAAAAGGCAAGTCACAAAATCAGCAGGGAGCCCTAGCAGAGGCAAGTCTGAGTGGCACCATAAACCCTCCACTTCTCCCTCGTCCACCACACCACGTAACCATCATGGCCCTGATCCCGGTAGCCGTGCCTGTCCCACTGCCCCTTACCTCACTGCAGCCACCAGCTGGGATGTGTGATGGTCGTGCTTCTTCAAGGAGCGGCTCAATCACTGTCACCTCTGCAAACTCCTCCACAGACTCTTGGAACTCAGGCAAGGACCTTCGTCCGTAACGCTTCCCACCTCTAACATATTTAGGCTGAGCTTCCAGCGAGCAGTCTGGACAAGGAGACAAAAGTTGGGGCCACATTACATGAAAATCTCAGCCCTGAGCTGATACTCACAGCTGCCAGTCACAGTCTCTTATACCAGCCCCAAAATAGGCCACCACTGTTTGCCAGCTGTGGAGGTCCGTGGGCGTACAGGAGCCGTAGGGTCAGGGCCGAGCATAGCTTCTAATTCTGAATGATTTACAGCACCCTGCTTCCATGTGGAGTCCGAGGTAGATACAAATGATGCCAGCAAGGATTTGACTCACGAGCTCTCCAGTTTCGTCTTGCAGACTTTGAAGCACCTTGCACAGTAAGTGTTAGAATAAAATATTCCACCAGACCTCAGCAAAAAGTGACAGATCATATTTGGTCTTGTGTTTATGCAATTGTTTAATTTAAGTCTTTAAAAGGGTGAAGGTAACTGAATAGGATGCAGAAAGTAAGAGAAAACTAACAGAGATGCCTTACAGAAAGTCTTGGAAAATGATAATAAAATGGACCTCAGACCAGCACTGTGAAAGCAACACCCACGCATCTCACATGAAACACTTTCCCTTCCCTTGGTTGCTCTTTTGCCAACCGCTGTACTTTTTGTTCCATCCTACAGAAGATGCCAGAACAGAGAAAGTAACAAAGTGGGTTCTGGTCAACTAACAACAGCTAGTTGCCCCTATGAAACCCGGCATCAACAGCTAATTTTATAATTAAAAGATATGGGAAAAAATAGCAATTGCAAAACTGAGCTAAGTAAAATGGTATCCAATGTGTCTTTCTCTCCACGAACCTCATGTTGGACAGAGTAAAAGGAGATGCGTGTAAGGGGGAAGCCGTCTCTTTACCTAGAAGGCCTTCAGCACTGTGACACAGCATGCCTCAGGTGCCAAGTTCACCGTCACCACCACTTTGCCACTGCTGCCACTACGATCTCCGTCACCACTGCCAGCATGACCACAGCTACAACTAATCTTTAAAGCACTAAAATAAATACTTCACTCTATTGGAATATCATATTAAAGATTTATAAGCACCTTGCACAGTATTAGGAGAATAAAATATTCCATGAAAGTATAAAAGACTCAGTGCTTTGACTTCTGCTGTCTTATTGTCTATACAGATAAGTCTCTCTAGAGAATATAATTCGAGTTCTGTTGGAAAGTCACCAAGACACCTCAATCAGACGTGTGGCTTTTTAAATGAGGTACAGACACATACCACCAAAATAAGGGTGGTCGGCTGGGTAAGAGCTGAAGGAACAAAAGCCTTGCTTTACCACCACTAAGCCACAATAGACTGACCCTTACTTTATTAAAGCTTCCCAGGAGGAGCTGGGGACCTTGTTGGATTGCTCCTGCTCCATGCTTTTCCTCTGGGATGAGCTCAGATTTCACGATGATATTCACAAATGTGGCCAGAAGCATTTTGAAAATGCTCTGACAAGCTCAGAGTGAAGTATTTATGCTAGCTCTACCATCTCTAGTGATATTTATATCCAGCTTTTAAAAAGTCCCAGCCATGTCATTTTATTAGGTCGAGCGATTCTCTTACAGGAAGCATTTAAGCATACAAAATTTATACTGAAAATCGCATGCATATTTGAAGGTACCTTTTATCAGAAGAGAGTGTGTCAGCTTGTGAGTATTCAGGAGCGGCACAGACACCCGAGCTACTTGTTGGCAGCTGACACCCACAGATGCTGGTTAGATAAGAGGCAATGTAGAACCATCCTTAATTTATTAGATATGCTTAAATGTTAGTGGCAGACAAGATACACCATTAGTAACTATGGGGGCTTGCAAAGATTAAGAAAAGAATTTAAGACCTCAATAAACAGAACAACAGTCAAGCCTGGGGATGGAAACTGACAAAGAAGATCTTACTGCATGCTATATTTTTTTTTCCAGAGACTTGCTATGTAGTTCAGGCTGGCTTTGAACTCATTATGTAGCCCAAACTGGCCTTGAACTCACAGCAATAGTCCTGCCTCAGCCTCCTGAGTGCTGGGATTACAGGTGTACATACCACACCCAGCTTGCATGCTATACTTTTCCAGATGAAAGAAAGTAGCCAGAGGAAGCAACTGTCTTCAAAATCTGAGTGTGACTGAGTCCTAACCTTACCTGCGGGTGAAACGGTTCCCTATTTACTAAACTGTTCCCGGTTGTGTAGCGAACAGCAGTAGATTCCAAACAGCTCTTTTTCTAACCCATGAAAATAACGAACAGTGAAACACAAAGGAACCATGGAGTTCTGATTGACTTATTTTTGCAATGAACTTAAACTTTTTATTATACTTCAGTATTTTACTATAAGAACCATACATGACAGTCAACTTCTAGAGATAGCCATTAAACTATATAATTCTTTTGGAATAAAGATATGAGCACACGCAAAGGAAAATGGACTATTAAGGTTTTCCTTATCACTCAACACCCAAAACCATCCATGTAACCAGTGAAAAATGTGACCCATCACACCATCCTAAAAAGTTGCCTTTTAGAATCACACACTCACACATCCCTCTCCTATTGATGGCACCAACATCATTGAATTTATGGAAGACAGAAGCGAGGTTGTCAGAATAGGGAGGTCTGCAGAGGACATTCGTGGTCAACAGTGCCTGCTGTGCTGAACATTTGAAAACTACCATCTTCCTCACTGACCTCAGCCATGGCTGCAGAAGTCAACAGCGACAGTCCTAGAAGGGGAGGTCACAGTGGGGGCACTGAGACACCTTTGCACACTCTTGCACACTCACAAAGTCAGATCCTCTCTCCCAGTGTCCAGTGGAACAGTCATACAATTGCAGCCCTGGAACAAAAACTATTTACCTTTTGAGTATACCCATATGTAATATTTTGTTTCCGAGTTTCATTCTGGAATAATTTTACCTATGCTGATCATGGGAAGTTAGTTTATTAAGAAAATGGTTGTATCACATAGCTCCTTTCACATAGAATAAGTTAACTGCTCCAAGCATAAGCTTCACGGAGAGCCGGGAAATGCCAGGAAACAGAGGCCTTTGTTATCTGGGTCGTTTGGAAGCATATTTATGATTCGGCCTGGCCTGTCTAGCTTTGGAGCCATTTTCTCTTCTTTCCCACTTTCTGTTTCTGTTATTTGGCATCACTACAGAAAAATAAAAATAGGCTCTGGAGAGAAGCAGACGAGCCCAGCCTGGGTTGAGGTGCCTGGGACTCATCCCAGGAAACTTATCAGCAGACATGACAGCAAGGAGGCGCTGAGGCAGTCCCCTGGCCTGGGCGAAATGGCCTCGGTCTTACTCCATAAACTAAGCCCTGAGCCCTAAGTCCTGAGCAAGGGGCAAAAGAGAAACCTCAGTCCAATCCTCTAAAGATGCTGGAGTGGAGGAGGAGAAACTGGGTCTGCACCAAGCAGGCAAAGAAAAAGATCTCATCAGGGAACTCAAAAGATAAAAACAAAAACTGTTCCCCTGGATCAGAGACGTTAAACAAACCCTGGTGCTCATTCTTCATCCACCTCTCCTCTGTCTCAAGAAGAGAAACCCCAGAGCTGTGACACTGTCCCCTCCCAGGCCCCTGGATGACTTGTGATCAGAATGTTCTGCACTTTGAACAGGAGTACAAAGCCAGGGAGAATGACGCTGAGGGGTGAGCCAGTTGCAGGCGTGACAATCAGCACCCACACACTTCATTTCTCTTCCAACTCACCTCCCAGCAGCTCTACAGATGGCAAAAACTGCACCCCAAATCTAAACGAAGCTGCACAGAACACTCTTTCTGTCCTCCCTGAAGCTGACCACAGGCTCCTCTGTGACGCAGATGACAAACACTGACTTCTCCCAGACCCACTGGACAGCCCTAAGGGTGCTGAGCTGGTTACCCCAAAGCCTAAACTCCATTTGTGCAAAAGCTTTCTTAGGATCCAGGGTGGACTGGCATCCACAGCACACACAGGGAGTTAAAGCAGATTTCCAAAGGTTCCCTCAGGTGCCCGGTAAGATTCCTTTAACTCGTGCTATGGGATGAGGGTCACATAGAAGGCATGGCATTAAACCTGTTCAAGCTGGGCATAAAATGGGTACTCTACCATTTTTTGAATCAAATTCTTCCAATGCCAAAAAAATAACCTGAATCCATTTCCAAGACTGAAGAAATGAACCCATTACTGAGGATCAGCCCTGGTGTGGTGGATAGTCTCATGCAGGCATAAGGTACACTGGATACTCTTTTTGAAGTAAGGTCCTGTGGATCTTGCTTCTACTTCCTGGCCCATGTAGAAAGCCCAGGGAGTTAAGTCCCAGAGACGACATTCCCTCCATTCCAAAGGACCTCAGCTGAGGAGTAATGATCTCCCAAGTTTCCTAAAATTGCCTCAAAATAAGAAAGGGTTAAAAAAAGTGAACTATATGCAAACTTCAGGACAAACACTCCCAAGAGGCTTTCCTGCACAGTCCCCCACATGCCACCATTTCCTCGCCTGCTAAGGCATCAGGACACAGAGTGCAAAGCCACACCTGATGGTCAACACAAGCAAAGGGGAGAGAACCTCAGGAGAGCCTGGTCATACCCAAGGGCGAGACCTAGAGATACACTGTTATAGAGACTGACACACAGAGAAAAGGAGACAAAGAGAGGAAGACTGAGAGCAGGAGAGAGAAAGAAGAGGTTCCTTCTGTGAGCACACAGCTCTTCCCAAGGCAGCTGCCTGGGTGTGGGGATGAGGACCTCCCTCCCATGACTTCTCTCTCCTGGAACCTCCACACCAGGTGCGGATGTTCCATGGGACTCTAAATTCTCCCTGGATAAAGGGGCAGTCTCAGTTCATATCGGTCCACCAGTCTGGAACACCACGGTGATAGAGACTGGCTCTAATTAGCCTCGCCCAAGGGGAAGGCCTGGAGCAGAGAGCGCACGGTGTGGCAATACTCAGGGCTGACCGTCTGACCACATGGTCTATCTCAGATTTACAGCAAGTGAAGATCACTCAAAGGAAACAGACCTTTCAGTCGATAGTGATTATATGATTGCTTCCCCCAGCCTTTTCGAGGGAGATCAATGGGCTTATTGCTGCTAGGAGGCCTTGCATCTTGGGCTACTCTGGGGAAGAAGGCATAGAGTTACATTTCACTTAGGTGAATCCTGCTCATTGTTCAAGCGCTCAACTCAAAACTTATTTCTTTACAGAAAATCCTTAGTACAACTGCCCTGTAATTTTTTCTCCTATGCATTTAATGCAATGCATACTATTTTACACCTCCCAGTTTAATATCTGTGGTCATATTTTTTCTGAAAGCACCTTACTGGTAGGATTGTCTACCCAGGTGCACTGTACACACGGCTGGGCAGGGACTTCAAAGAAACAACCTGGTCTTGGATAGAAAGATACCTACAGAGAGGTACTCAACAGGTTAGGAGGATTTAACCTCCCAAAGGCTTAGTCTCGTTATCTGGGAAGAAGGAAAAAACCAGGCGCTCCAAGGAGCAAGGCCTCTGTGTATCTGCAGCTCCTATCCTGAGAGCTACCGTCACACTGTGCTTCTTCCACACAGATCTCATGGAGAAAATGGAATCAAAGCCATCGGCCAGAGAGGGATGCAGTGTTGGGACCCCTGGAGGAGCAAAGTTGGGAGGAACAGCAGCCCCTAGTCCCACAGCAGATTCTTCAACTGCATTTCTTGTGGCAGGAAGGAAAATGCAGACAGATCATCTCAGAAACGAGCTGTCCTGACCTGGATCTTGTGCTTTTCCTAATTTTTTCTTCCTCATTAGTCAACTTTCCCCTGTCTTGATGGGCTGCTATGAGAGGGACAGGTGAACTCTCCAAGACTCCCTGCAGAAAATTACCATCTGCATGCCCTGTTTCCAACCTTCTTATATACTCACTTAAGTTGAAATAAAATGCAAACATAACTCCCAAGTAAATTCTTACCAGCTCTGTTTAATTTTAAATAACATGCATATTTCTTGCACACATACATATATTTTTAAAAGGTTGCTTTTTATCCTTAGTAACATTGCCCTGTCAAGAGGAAAACTTCTGTATCACAGTTTTAAGAGCTACTTAGTC